TATCTATCTATCTATCTAAATGTGGACATTTTCTAGAATTGTGTTAAAAGCATTATACCAGTATGAAAAAAAAACAATGGTTTGTAATTGGACTGTAAGTTTTCCAACTGAGATTTTAACCAACCAGAATTAGAGACAACATTGCGTAATAGAGTCTGTAATGGCTAAACTAATTTCTCTCCTCATTATACATTTATAACATAGTTTGGCCTTTCAGGGATGGTTTCATAGACATTTTCAGTAAAGCACACAGTCGTTCTAAAACTGAAAAAGATCCCAACTCCCCACAGCCATTGCACATTTATGATGACTAGAAGGTTTATTACACTAAATAATTTAGTTATTTGTGCTCTTTTCCTGTCATTACATCCATTATGTTGATTGGAGGTTCATCTCACTCGGTTCAGGTACGCAGCCTAGTGAAAAGACGTATTGTGTGTTATGTATGCATTTGAGGCTTTATTTGCCATTCTTCATGCCCCTTCATGAACTGTTGGGCATGGTGATTTTTTGTAGGGGGAATAGGAGTAGGTTTCATTATTAATTTGTCCAAATAAGGCAGTACACATAAATAAGGCAGTACACATAAATTGCATTGCAAAACTTTGCCCTCCTCTTATTGATTGAACGGTAAAGAAAGATTTTAGCTGTCTCCAAAACCTGTGTTTATATCCATTTAATGGCTATTTCTTTTTTTACAACTTGGTGAAAGATTTCCTTTTTAGACAAGGTAAATTAAGAGAGACTAACAACCCTCACAAATCCAATTTCTTAGAAACAAGCATACCCCGCTTTAAAGAAGTTGAGTAGTTTGTTTCTTTAAAATTAAAAGCATGTTTTTTATCTGCATTGGGATTACCCCTGTTGGAATGGTATCTGCAAAAACACTGATTTCAGTGTCAGTCAAAAATAGATAGAGTTTTTTTTATGTGTATCAAGTCAATTATTTAAACCCAGATTATAAGATTACAGTAGATTATATCTGATAGTTCATTGTTCCTTTGCTTAAAACAAATGACAAATAATAATAAAACAGCAAGAATACAAATATTTGTATTTGCGATGCAGGAGTGTTCATCATGAACACTGTGACTTACACTGACTTGCACCTTTCATCTCTTTGCTTGCTTACCCTCTCCCATCCCTCCTTCATTCCCATCAGCCTGTAACAATGCCCCTTTCTCTTTCCTCGCTTTCTTCCTCAGGCTATTTCCTCCTCTTCCATCCTCTGTTTGTCAGTTAAGCACCATAGTGAAAGATTCACAGTCTGCCCAGGACTGCCTGCCTCAGTAGTGTCAGGGTGTTCTTTGATGTAAGCAGTTCTTTATGGAGGTATTATATTTGATTGATGTGGAAACGTCTGACAGTACACTCTGTTCTCAGATATTTATTTGTGAGTCAATGATGCACACTCAGGAGCTCTGTTGCTGCTAAACAGCCCTCAGCCACCGAGCCACTGATGATTCCAGCTTTATGCCGCAGCTAGAAACTCTTACATCTGCACTTTTTTTTTCTTCTCCAAACTGTGCTGGCTCATATGCGGATCACTTTCTAACTGCTCATCAGTCACGGTCATGGAATTTCAAGAAAATATACATGATCACACAGCCATCAGCTTGAGCCACAAGTTTAGTCTTTTAGAGGTAAGCTGACTCAACAATGCAATGATATGACTTGTGACTCCAGTATTGCCCACAAAAACTTAACCACAACTTTTTTGTTCCCCTATAACAACAGTTCTGTTCATTAAAAGTAAAAACATAATATTTTAACATAGTTCAGCCAGCCAACTAAAGTGGAATGGATTGATATAAATACAGAATACGTCGTACAGTGTAGATGTTTGGTGTTATAGCATGGTGTGGCAATAGGCATGCAGCAAAAGACTAAACAGACTGCTAGTGGCTCAAAAGAATAGTTTGACTTGTAGGGAAATATGCTTACTTGCCGTAAAAGATCATTACCTATAATAATAATTTAATAGTGTTAATTTAATTTCATCATAATCTCAGTCTTAGACAATTAGACATTAGGCAAATCATTTATGTCAAGTAAAATAATGCATTATGGTTAATTTAAGAATATAAAACTTGAACAAAGTATTTAACTAGTGCCCAGCATGTTTTAAATTTCTCCAAACAACAGATTTTGTTTTCAGCAGTAGGCAGAAATGTGTACACCTATTATACTGCAGTTTTTTTTGTTTTGTTTTAATCTCTTTTCCTTTAGTGGAATGGAATAAAATGTTTTCCGAAATTGTCACGACACACAGTTTTTCTTCATAGTCTGTGTGGGGGGAAGGGGAAACAGTCTTACATTTTTTGACAGTAGTGCACAAGTACATAAAAAAAAAAACTATACTGGTGCAGACTTCATGAGGGCAAGCTGTTTAATAAACATCAGATCTGAACACAGTTGGTCACTTGATTAAAACACAATCAATGAGGTTGTTAAAATCAAGGCGTTATATTGACAAACTGACAAGATCCCCGGCGTGCTCTGTAAAGTTAACCAAATTTAAAGGAGGCACTTCCCGGGATATGACAGCTGGTTCATTTTTTATGCAGCTATAGCCGCCTGATGTAAACAAAAGCAGTTCCCTGGGACTCCTCAGTTCATCTAAGATGCAGGGCAGTTCTGACCTTGGTGGACTTACCTTCAATTACATACACACAGGCAAGCTGACACACACATTTGGATGCATGTACATACTTACACAGTGACAGAACCATGCACTCTGCCTCTCCATCTTTCTCCCTCATCAACAATCACCCAAACACACACACACACTCACCGAAGCAGCACAGACAGCACACAATCACCCCACTCTCGTGCCGTCTGAGATTAGGACTAATAAGCAAGGTGACATCGTCGCTGTGGAGGTTGAAGGCCATTAGGGGCCGGTGAACCTTCGGGCTAAGCTGTGGTTTGGCAGTGAGGGGACTTTGCTGGCAGTATGAATAGCTGCAGTGGAGCTGTACAGGCAACATTTTTATGAACAAATCAAAACAGGAAGAAAAAACGAAATCATACTTACTGTAGCCACTGCAGGTTCTCGGCGCGCAGAGTAAGGTGAGTCTGATTAGACTTCCTGAAGCTGAGCTATCTGGCATAAATTTGCATCTAATATGAGGTAAAACTTCATTTTCAAACTATTAGCATATTGCTTTACCGGCTAACGTTGCTAATAACACCGCAAAGTCTTTTTGTGAGCAAACATGTTGACATAGGGCATATTTGGCTAATTAATAGCGTTTTAATCTAGCCGCACTAATGAAGCTCAAACGCATCACCTGGCGGTGTGTTAAATGACGTCGTGGTAGTACAAGCCAGAACAGACAGGCAGGCTAAAGTCCCCGCAGCGAGGAGGCAGCGCCCTCGAAACTAAGCGGATGTTAAGGCAAAGGGCCACCCAAGTATGACCTTTCAGAGGATTTTTCTTTGAAAGAAATTAGAGATAAGTGAACAGGTTTCCTTTCTATAATAAAGGGTTGATGGCTCGTCTGTTTTATTTAATATATTGTACTATGCTGAATGCATGAAAGACTTCGGCTTTTTTATTGTCAATAGCTTTCAGTCATGACTGAGGTCAGAATAATGGTGGTTCATAAGTATGAGGTCCGAGCCAAATTAAACATGCAGATAACGCGGTAACCTATCACAGAGTAAAAGATGTTGGGCATTGCGGCTTTGGAGATGTGTTTTTGTGTCCCTTGCGGGGTCTGTTGTTGGCAAATATAGAGCCGTACCTTCACGTC